ACTTCTTCTTTATCAGTGTCATTCATTTGAACTTCTAAAGTGACATTGGGTTGTTCAAGGGTCGCTGCTTTGGTGAAAATGTGGCATTAAGAAACAAGCAAATAGCCCAATAGTCTACACCAATTGGGCATGCCAAGGTGAATGCAAGCAAACCACACGCACTTGGGCTTATTCTGGCACACGCCACTTGTCATAGTAACAGAGATCAGCACAAAATAACATCATTATGATAGCTTTAGTCTGACAAACCATTGCCCCGCATTTTATGCTTGGTAACTTCATGCCGAAATATCATGATGGCCAACAGAAAGTCAGTGATTATATACTGACACAACCAAAGAGCACGGTGAAAACAGATTTTTCACCATTTCGAACCGGGTCTTACACATGAGTGGATTGGAAACGCCAGGGGAGATGGGTTGAGTAGTATGTTATGAGCTCAACGTGTAATTTTAGGGTGGATCATGGCTTTGAGTACTCAAGTGCCTGGCTGTCAAGGTTGTAAGCTATTTTTTGACACCAGAATGAATTCAACAGCAAGGGTGCCAACTACCGTGGCTTTCTCAGTGAATTTCCCTGGATAGGGGCGTCTGAACGTGGACTGATATGGTAATGTTGTCTGTGTATACGTGCACATCCATTCAAGGTACTAGTATTCAGTGTTAGACTTATTCGAAGTGAACTTTGTAGTACCTTTACTTTAGAACTCTGAAATAATTTCTATATATTATGTACATGCATATAACAAGGAAGTTTAATCAACCCTATCGCATTGCATAAAGAGACCTTAGCGCAGGTTGTTTATGACTTGACTGTAAATGCTGTAAGGAAAGCTACCATAATGTCGGTAATGTGCTAAAATGCTAGATAGTATCTATCATAAACTTTTATCAGGGTTACTAGTAGTAGCTAACAATCATATATTTCTTAATCCTCAGAAAGTTTTTTTTTGCTGCCAAAATAGTTCATACATGTAGTACTTACAGAAATCACTGTTTATATAGTATTACTTAACTTAGATTGAAATCAATATGTCATTATACAGGCAACAAGTCATTAATGATAAAGCAATGAGGGGTGGTTTTTACACCATTTCTGTGCCTCCAGTGATTTGGCTCATTTTGATCGAATATGGAAAGTTAATCAGTGCCTTGAATGAGCGACTTATGGAATCTGCCAATGCCTGAGGACACAATCATCTCTAGATAAAAGGATGTCACAAATGCTCTCCGATGATTTCATACGGTATCTCTTGACTCCGGCTTTTCTCGCTTAGTTCAAAATAACTCTAAGCTGCTTAATGTTATATTGGATAAGGGATGAAGCATTGCCAGTACATTTTAATGAGTTGCTTGCTGATAAAGACAGAAAAGGTGCAGACTTAAATATCACAGTTGGAGAGTTTCTCATTTGGTTACTCTAAACTTTAAGATTTGCTTAGGCACCCTTAGACCACCACATTAAGAAAACGTTGCTACCAAGGCCTTTTCAAAAGAATGTCCTGGATATCCGAATTGTGCATACCTCAGGGATTACAGTTAGTGTAATTGGCTTGGCTTCGTTAGTAGACCTCTTTAAATTCACGGTTTACTTCACTCGTGGTCTGTAACAGCATCCAGTGTCGGTTTATCAAAAGTAGCAGGCTGCACAGGAAATATTGCTCATTCTGGCAGAATTTGTAAAATGATGTTCAAAGCCCAGACTATTTTTAGAATGATTTTCAAAACCCAGACCGGTCTGTAACAGCATCCAGTGTTGGTTTATCAAAAGTAGCAGGCTGCATAGAAAATATTGCTCATTCTAGCAGAATTTGTAAAATGATGATCAAAGCGAAGACTATTTCTGGAATGGTTTTCAAAACCCAGACCGTGTTTCTAAACTTAGCACAGCCAATTTCAAAGGTCCAACAGGTCATAGCCAGACTGGCTCTCCAAACAACGGATAACAGAAAAGGAACTTTTGCAAACGATTGTCAATTTGGGAGTGACGCGTGCCCTGTCCCCTGAGGACTGTCATCAGGGTTGTGTAGCATCAGGCGAGACGTCTTCGTTAAGAACAGACGCTGTCCTATTGATTATGTGTCTCTGGTAAGACAAACCTGTTCTGACGAGAGTCTCTTGGCGCGATGGTACAGGGGAAAGAGTAATGACAGCTTCTGGAAAAATTCCCTACAAACTTTCCCCGGAGTAGTCCTCTGATGTTTACCATCTTTATCTGTTTGTTTTTTATTGATTTTACTGCTTTGAACAACACTTCATCTTCTACTGCTTCAAAGGAATTAATGACAGCTTCTGGAAAATTCCCCTCAAACTTTCCCCATGGAAATCTGTATTGAGTTGTTGCCACAAAGTAGTCCTCTGGTGTTTGCCACCTTCACCTTTTTCTTTTATTGATATAAGCTTTGAATAATGCTGAATTCAAAAGACTAAGGACGGCTTCTGGAAAAATCTCCTTTAAACCTTCCCCACGGAAGTCTGTATTGAGCTGTTGCCACAAAGTAGTCCTCTGGTGTTTGCCACCTTCACCTGTTTCTTTTATTGATATAAGCTTTGAACAATGCTGAATTCAAAAGACTTAAGACAGCTTTTGGAAAAATCCCCTCAAACTTTCCCCACGGAAGTCTGTATTGAGCTGTTGCCACAAAGTAGTCCTCTGGTGTTTGCCACCTTCACCTGTTTCTTTGATTCATTTTCTTTGAATAACACTAAGTTGTCATCCATTGCATGTATATATCATTGTAAAATGATTCATAAGCATTTGGCTGTAGTCGCATAAAGATCAATGCTAGAGCAATGACATTGGATAGATTGTCTAAGAGACTGTCTAGAGTTGCTTAAGTATAGTGTGCAATTTTACTTCTCTTCTTTGCAAGCTCCGAAGAGAACTATGTTTCCCGTCTATTTCACAGACAAACACACACAAGTAGGGTAGTGAGCTCACCGTCACCTCAGTACGGTCGGGCATTTATTGCAATTGGCTCCTCAACTCAGTAACACCATTACTCTCTACACATTGTAGCTCTCATAGCATGTACATACTTATACAGGAGCCTAATACAACAACAACAAGTCATGTGCTGCGAGCTGGCGACCTATTTTACCCTGGTTGCCAATTGTTTAGCCAAAGTCGGGCTGGTCGGTTAAACCAAGGCTCTGTCCAGCGGATGTTTAACGCATCCTGACTTGTAAGTAACTTCTAACCGGCGAAGTTCAAAAGCTCATCTGCGTGAACAAGGTTGAAAACATCCTGGCTAAGCAAATGATGCGTTACAGGTACACCTGAATAACTACTGACCTTCGTAAGTTAAGTGGTTCAAAATACGACAATAACACAATTCTGGAGTTTATCAGAGGTTACAGCTACACAACATACTGAGTACAGCAAATGGCCACAATGTGACTGTGAACGCTAGCAAGGCAGGTATCTTGCAGAGAAGAAATAACATGAAGGTTATGTAACAACTGATTACGTACGCTAAGTTGCAGGTACCATTGAGGATAACGTACAGTGCTAGACGAAATGTACGAGTCTAGATAAGTCAGTAAGAACTAAGGTAGCGCGATGTCGTATGAGATGAGAAAACATAACTAACGTTCTAGAATCCAGGTGTTCTCGGGTTAGTCATGGGAGGGCTGGGTGGGAATGTGACCGTACAGAGAAAGGTTGAGCCACGAATGACCCTTACGAGGGTTAGGGAGGAAGGGTCAGAGGGTAAAGGGGTGGAATAATTAGTATTAGGGTAGGGGTCACGTGATTGTCTGTTCAGCTGACGGGAAACGAGATTGTATAGAGTGTAATTTTTCAGTATATTTAGCAATAATTTTCCCAATATAGTCCATTTGTATAGTTTCACTTATAAGTTCCATTTGAACACTTACAAGTGAGATTGCAACAGATCCCCATGAAATTGCTAAGTATACAATGTATGTAATAAAATGGCATGGTATTCGTGAGAATTGCACTGTACAATTGCTAAGTACTTGACTGTATACTTAGGCACCCCTAACTGTGCTGAAGTAATTCCTAAGAAACTGTAAATAATACAGAATGGCGACTACAAACCTCCTGCCATGCTTACAAATCGATAAAACCAATTGCCGCGCTAGTGTTGAGCAATGGTGCGAGACGGGAAGGCACGCGCGCAGTATGTTCCCAGATTGCTCATTGCGAGAATGCTGACCGCCGATTTTCCGAAACATTTCACGATCGAATATCGGGCTAGTTTTACTGTGGTGTGAGTTAATGGTGCAGGTTATTGGCTTGGGCACAGCTCCTCTGAAGTCTCCTAACTTATGTATGTTTCAGGGAAGGGCAAGTCACGACACGAGAGAGTACTGTAGCTTGTAGTTAGCCTTTGTTACACAATCTCTTGTTGTCCCGGATTGCCCCCTCCCAAAAAACTAAGGCTTGCTTGCAGTCTTTTAAATACAAGTAACAAGTACGTTAAAAATGAAAAAGATTTAAAATTCAACCACTAGACTAATAGTATATATCATTTAGATCTAGAAGGAACAAACTGTTGCAAGAGTATGATCAGCGTATGACTTACATTGGGTATAACTAGTAATCGGCCTTTTTTTCTTCGTCATTTTCAACAGTTTTACTGTATTTTCCAGTTATTTCATTATGTCATTGGTGTTGACTAGTTAGTTCTCTCATTTCATTTGGGTGATGCTGAAAAAAGAGTGACAAATGTCACTCAAAAGGTCTGGAAGTGATGTCCGTAATTTATCCAGTAGCAGAGTTTGAATTATCTTAAAGTTTGAATTTCTTTACCTAGATGCCTAACCTTCATCAACGTTTTATGTATGTTTAACATACAGCAACTTCGTGCTGGGGAACACCCAGTAGCAAACACATACCCCAAGACATTAAACCATCTCAGTTAAATGCAGTTTGGCAGGCCCTGGCATAGAAAGCTTCTTTTTTTCATAATGTTGTATGTACACCAACATAGACGAACTCCCAAGCTAACAGGTGCATTTTTATATATTTTACAGACAGCAACTTTGTGCTGGGGAATGCCCAGGTGGCTAATGTGTACCCCATCGTGTACTGCTCCGATGGCTTCTGTGAGCTGACGGGGTTTGCGAGGGCCGAGGTCATGCAGAAGGGCTGCGCCTGTAAGTTCCTGTATGGCAACGAGACCAGCGAAATCCAGATCAGCCAGATCGAGAGCGCCTTGGAGGAGAAGGATGAGTTCAAGACAGAAGTCATGTTTTACAAAAAGAATGGTAGGTTTTCTTTTTTCTAACGACTTTTGCTCAGTTCAAAGCCACATAGAGCACTTTTAGGTACTAAACTGATGCTCACTGCAGCAACATCTTTTGTGCCAGAGAACTTTATAATAACTTAAAGATTGAAATTTACCACATTTGTGGAAGGATTGACATAACAGGTGACTATCACCTCTTCAAGATGTCAACCCTGAGACCAGACTGCTACTGCCACAATGTCATGTCAGAAAGCCCACAGTAACAAAAGTGCCTTGGAAGAGAAAGATGGGTTCAAGACGTAAGTCATGTTTTACAAAAAGAATGGTAGGTTTTCTTTCGCTTGGTCCTTTATCTATCATATATAACCAGTTTGCTCAGTGCAATGCCACATTAAGATGAAGCATTTATGGAAGGACTGACATAATAGGTAACTATCACCTCTTCAACCCTGAGACCACAATATTCAATGACTCTTTCCATGGTGCTGAAAAGCCTTCAAATGACAATTTTCCCCAAACCAACTAGAACTTAGTGGAGATTTCAACTGTTACTATCATAATGACACATCTGAAAGCCCATAGTAACCAACCAAACAACCAAACAACCAAACAACCAGCAACACATCATCCAATAGGCAAGACAATACCCAATAGGCAAGACAGTACCCAATAGGCAAGACAGTACCCAATAGGCAAGACAGTACCCAATAGGCAAGACAGTACTCAATAGGCAAGACAGTACCCAATAGGCAAAGCAGTGTCTTACAAGCAAGACAGTGCTCGATAGCCAAGACAGTATCCAATAGGCAAGACAGTAGCCAACACTAGGCAATACACAGTATCTGTCTTGCCAGTTGGCTATGACTTTGCCACCAAAAGATCTGCTTGGTGATACTAGTATTAAACTGGAGGACATATCGCTGGCTAGTAGGCAATGGCAGGCAGGGTGTTGACATACACAAGTGACGGGCCTAGCATAAGAAGATGACAGGTTCTGGCAGTTGTAAAAGTTACCACCTGGGACGGCTAACAGAAAACGCTTTTAGAAGTTGACAAAAACCTTTAAAAGGTACCATACCTCTCTGCACCCATCATGTCTTTACATGTAGTGCAGGTGCAGTTTAGGGGAGTTGCTCATTTATGATTATGTCGGAGACATTACTGGAAAAGTGTATGTCAAAAGATATACAATTTTCAAAGTTGCAGAATTGTTTTGGAAGGTAATTATGGCAAAGGGAAATACAAAGAAAAGCTTAGACTAGATGATTTTGGTGATGATTTTATATTACAACATCATCGGGGAAATGGTGTCCTATTTTTGGGTGCATTATTTTATTATTAATATTAATTTGTTCTCCCCATAAAATAAATTATAGCGTCACTTTGTACATCGATAAAAATACTTCTTAAAAGTAAAGTTTCAGAATGGTTTTGGCAAATAATCATGACAAGGTGAAAGACAAAAAAAAGCTTAGTACAGAATCAATGATTTGGTGAGGATTTTGCATTCCAACATCTTCATACATTTTCAAAATAAAGCTGAATACATTTTCAAAGTAAAGTTGCAGAATTGTTTTCAAATTGGTAATAAATGACAAGATACAAAGAAAAGCTGATGATTTTGGTGATGATTTTGTGTTCTGACCTGCTTGAAGATTAGGTCATTGGGACACAGTGTCCTATTTCAGGGTCTGTTAGTTCGTTTCATCTCTCCGTAACGAATATCATCATGTATCACTTTGTACCATATTGTACCCAGATGACTGACACCTTAGCATTATGACCCTTTACGTGCTCTGAAAAAGGAATGGTTTGAACCGTTAATACAAAGAAAAGCTTAGAATCAAGGATTTTGGGGACAACTTTGTGTTCCTCCATCTGCTTGGACATTAGTTCATCGGGAAACAATGTCCTATTTCAGGGACTGTTAGTTTGTTTCATCTCTCCGTAACGAATATCAGAGTGTCACTTTGCACCATATATATATTGTACCCGGATGACTGACACCTGTAGTCACCCCAGCATTATGACCCCCTCTACGCTCTGCAAACGAATGGTTTGAACCGTTAATGAAATTGCGTCCCCACGTCGCTACCTGTAATGTAATTAAGGTGGGGATTAATCTGGGTTTGAGCCCGACCATGCCCCATGGCCGTCCCGGTCCATCAAACATGACAGAACTGGGGCAGGACAATTCAAGGGCAGAACGAACAAGAGACACCGCACTTCAATCATTCAGAAACTGCACACCTGAAGTCAACTCAATCTAGAATGGATGAATGAACTCTATACATGTGTGCAAGTATGGTTACCATAGGTTTTGTCATTATTTTTGTGACAATACCGACTAGAGATATTAGAGACTTTTGACAGTGGTAAAAAAAATGTTATGGGCAGAATGAACATTCAGTCAACAAACTCTTTACTTCAGTCATTCAGAAATGCTACCGGTGGCAAGAATAGATAAGCAATAAACTTAATTTCAAAGAAATGAATAAACTCAGCAGTTGTTAAAGATACCAAGTATGTCAAGCTCTGGCATTATTTTTTTGACTCAGATATTAGTGACTTAACTATGGCAAAAACAGTAACAGTCCCTGCTGTGTTAACGAACATGGGTTTTTAAGAACTGCCCCAACATGATTTACTTATCAGTGGCACTTTCAAGTCAGTGGCTTTAAGTTTGTCAATTTTTGTCCAACTGGGTTTTCCAGTCCCTTATATTTAAGCATCGACTAGTTTTGCCTGTTCATTCTGGTGACACTAACAAAGAGTGACGAATGTCAACAAAAAAAACGAATGAGAGAATAGACGGAAAGAGAAAAGTTAACATGCTTTTAATATAGAAGATAAGCTTTTTGTCCTTGAAACTGTGATGAGCCTGACAGTAGGCTTTAGTGTGTGATTGAACGTGGTATTAGGTTCTGATTAGATTGGGAGATGCTGACACGCTCACCTGACTCTTAATTCTGCCTGGCTGCGTCACGTTTCCATGCCACGATCACACAGGGGACAGTAAAGGTCAAGTGGGCTGAAAATATACATGTAGTAACAAAATGCTATTATATAATGGTACCCTACAACCTGAAACAAGCATTAAAGCCACACCAATTTAATTTCTTGGTTCTTGGATTTTTTCATAAAAAATATGAAGCAACAGGGCGAAAAAAAAATGAAAATGAAAACAGGTCTAGGCATCCAATTATAACCCCAAATGCTACGATAGCCCCAAATGCTACGATAGGAGCCATGAAGTCAACACAAATGAATTTTCAACTTTTAATCAAACCACTGCATTGATAGATGGAAAAACTGTAACAACTAGGAAGAAAATGACTTTCCTCAACTGTTGGGGCAAAATACTGAGCATATTTGTGTTGATTCAGAACCAGAATCTTTTTTCTTTTTAAATCACAAAAAAATTAAGAGGCGAATCCAAGAACCAACAAATTGAATTGGTGTGGCCTAATAGTCATGAGTCACAAATCTTCTCTGTCAAAAACTACATTCCTTTTACCCTTGTGTAAAGTATGGTTTAATTGACATCTATTTTTAAATGTAGGTTATGAGACACTGCTGACACATCTACAATGTATTGGTATCCTGTCAACTGTGATAAGCTGTTGCTCCGGGGAAGGGTTGATATTGGACCTGCTATGGTCCACTAGTATGTCTGACTACTACTATACCAGTAGTTAATACAAATTGCTTGTCATGCCAATGTCACCATGGACAGGCTAATATGATGGACAACCTAATCCGCTTGACTTCAAACCAATGCTTTAAAAAATCGCAAAGAAAAAGCAAGGTACAAAATTAAATAGAATTTAAGAAATATAAGGCTGACAGGTCAACTAATACAACATCACTAAGCAGAAATTACATTTTGAAAACAAAATTACTACACAGATATACCTTTAAAATGTGGAGTAATGGCGCCATCTTACAAAATGTAAGAGAATTACAGTGCAGATGAAAACTTTTGAGCTGACTCTGGCAAGCAAAACCTTGGTAACTGGTGCTGTAGCAGACACCCTGTGGTGTTGGATTACACTATGTTGCAGGGGGTTGCCAGATAGAGTTAGAGGGGCTGTTCACCATATATATGAGTGTGTGTTTGAGTAAGATTAAACAGAGCAGTCGTTTGCTAGACTAGACCATGTCATCAAGGTAAACATTATGCAAATTTTCTATAGTTTGACTGACGTTTTATCTCACCATGTTGTTTTGTTTTCTTGTTACAGGGACGCCGTTTTGGTGTTTACTCGATATCGTTCCCATCAAAAACGAAAAAGGGGAAGTCGTTCTGTTCCTCGCCTCCCACAAGGACATCACGAGAACAAAACTATCCAGCATGGACCTGGACGAGGCTGAGGCGAATGGTAGGACCGACAAAGGTGTTTCTCGCAATTTATCACAAACATGCAAATTATCCCAAATTTGCATATTAGGGACAAATTGCTAAAAACCTTTGTCAGCCTTCCTGGAAAGTTTGTTCCCTTCTTACATGTTCTTAATTATGATATTTATTATAATAACAGGATTTTAAAGTTATCAAGCATGTATTACATATTTCTCGAATATCTTGTGTTCTGATACTTTTTCATATACAAGAACCACTGCCTTGTCACATTACATTTCTTTTCAAGTCATAAATGTACGTCTTGTGTTGACCATGACATGTCTACAAAATGCATGCATACGCTTTTTTTCCGTCTCTTTTCTACCTGGAATGTCAAGCTGCATCTCTTTCATGTCCGCTGAAATTCTTGCACAACATCAGTAGAAACTGACCCTCCCCAAGCGTAGAATATAGTATAGCACATTCGCACTAGGTTTATATTGCTTTGCAAGTGGATGTGTTCTGTACATAGAGAGTGAGGTTATTTGGGTCTATCTATGAAGTATGAATTTTTTTTCAAAGCAAGAGAAATATTAAATGCCTCTCCTCTGAGGTGTCGCCAAAAATTTACTGTTATGGCAAATGTAGAGTTAACTATCAAGACCCAAATAACTTCTACTTTTAAGCTCATAATATCAACATTTTGCAGCAAAATGCAAATGATGAAAAATACATTTTGGCTTAAACTTGTGAATAACTTATCATAATTAAAAGTGACGGACTAGATAAGATTTACAAAAAGACTGTTTTACATTTTGAAACTTCATTAAATTTTGTAATTTGCTGCTGTCGTCTAGTCATGCGCACTAGTATCACTTTTCCTAGACCTCCAGCGCACTGTAGACAGCCCTTTGACGTATAACTCTTGCACAAGCGTTAAAGATTTGCTTTTCTGTTTCAACTTGTATGACAGCATTTCATGTCTTCTAAGACAGTAACAGTAATATATGGCCTCTTTTGGTCAGTATTGACCATGGTAAAATCCTAATTGCAGAAACACTAAGGAAGAAGAAAATCACCTTAATCTTGACCTGAACCTATCACATGCCTTTATCAGTTGGACACTGCCATTCTTTAACGCTTTGCAAGGTGGCGTCGGTGCACGGGCTACCTAGGGTACGCACCATCTTTCTCTTGCAGTCGCATGTTTCACAGGTGTTCTGTTCTTCTCTCGCCCTTTCAGAGCAAAGACCCACCCCAAGGTTTAAGGGCGCGTGTAAGCTAAGTTGTTAGATTCTCCCTACCCCACGCATAGTACACGAGGGCCTGCATGGGGGGGTAGTGATTACAAATTACGCAAAATTTTTGCCGCCAATTACGAATTACGTTTAAGCCTCTGAGCATCATAACCAGTTGCTTGAGTAACTGTTTTTGGGGTATCTTATTACCTGGATGTCTAACCTTCATCGACGTTATGGTTAATATACTGATTATGAATTACGATGATTTAGGGCGGCTGCCTATGGATTACAAAGACTAAAAAGGCCTGATTACGCCTTAAGAAAAAGCGCATGCAGGCCCTCACACACCACAAACCTGTCTGTACACATCCTGTTTACTGCATGCTATCTGCAAGCACGTCTCTTCTAATCGCTTCCTGGCTTTCTTTCCTTTCCTTCCTTCTTTCTTTCTTGCTGTCTTTCTCCATAAGTCTGTAGTTCATGTAGGCCCACAAATTACATCTAATTTTATCTTGTGTATCATTTTACAGGCTACATACATGGACATTCGCTTTCACATAGATTTTGTACTGACACTTGCCATTTCAGCACCAAGGAGAAGACCATAATCAATTTTCATCACATATTTCAAGTTCACAGAACAATGTCTGCATTGATGTGTTTGTTGATTCTAAGATCAAGAAAGATTTTGTTTTCAGATGTTACTTGGCATGACATGTTTTCTGAAATGCTGTGACAGTCACATCTTAATGACGTTTGCTATTGGATAGTTTGTTTGGTTATCAAGACATTTTTCAGAACAACAGAACGTATTCTGACACACCATTTGCGTCTTAAAGTGTTTAAAACATTGAGGAGGATAATGTCATTTTTTGTTACTGTTCATTTGTAATCCCAAACTAAAACCACTGAAATGAGCATGGCTGTGTTGTTTTGTTACAGAATATGGTTCTTTGACTAATAATAATTCCAATGTCACGAGTTTTGTCAGTTTTGTAATTGCATGAACTGTACCTAATGACAAAATCAGTTTAAGTGCCCAGCTGTCATTGCCAAGGCGCATTAATGACGTGATGATGACATGCCATACTACGTCACCTGTCATAAAATAAAATAAAAATGGCGACTGATACCAAGCTGTATCATCCCTAAGAACGTATCGTTTCAGGAACTGACTCCCTACCTTGTTTGGCTGTAGACGTTAACGCTTCCTATGGAAGAAGAACAGGGCAACAGTTCCAGAGGCGGAGAAGTCGAGCGGTGTTGTACCAACTGTCAGGGCATCTACAGAAACCTACGCAGGGAAGAAGTCGGTTGAAAAAACTTAACAGTGTAAGTAGAGTCTATTTTGCGTGGCTTTGGCAGAGCAAGCTACAATGTACATTACTTACTGGCACATTCAGATTTGTGACATACTATTTGTTTGGACTTATGTGTTGTCTTTTTGTTGGCTATTTCAGTACATCTATATCACATTTGCTTTATTTACCTTTTCGCACAATTTGCAGAGAGAGGCTGAGCATATTCGGCATCGAGAACACTACAAGAATGTCAGTTTCATTTGGCTTTTGGTGCTTATTTAAGTTCCCAAGTGCTCCTTTAATGTAGCATGTCAGAAGGAACATGAAGTTACATGTAGGTCTAACGGCCGGGTTTAGCTGTTTGCAAGGAATTGTGCATGTTTGCCTGAAGCCATGTTCATGATATGAAACGTTTTTGTTTGTTTGGTTGATTGCCTGATACACAATAGTTGAGACAGACTAAGCAACTCTTTTGTATGTTGCCCTAAAAGCAGCTCTATAAGTAAATGCTGATGAATGTACTTGGCATGTAGATTTGGATTCTTTGCATCCTTTGGATCCTGCATGTTCATGCTCTGTCACCCATTATCAAAGGACACTGTCATCTAAAATGTCATTGCACATACAACAGAACAGAACAGACTCTGTGCTATTGTCAGTCGTAAACTTCAGCCATCTCCTCAGCAGTTGTGGTCAGAAACAGTTGATTTCTCGGTTAATTTAATAAACTGTGCAGTTACCTCTATATTACATTATGGCTGGTAAGGCTTTAAATATTCTTTTGGTCAGTACTTCATTCAACCAATCCAGATTGTAAATGAAGTCTGCATGCATTTCTTTTAACTGATATGCTGCCACTCTCTTGCCATGACGTAATGACATAATTTGTCTTTATGATTACTCGATGACATGAGGTTAATCATACAGTGAAAATGTGTTTGCAGAAGCAGAGCTGCTGTCGAATCTTGTGACTTTGATCTAATCCTACCCTCGTGACTACTGCATGATAGACTGGTGTCTCATTACTGTATAACTGTTATAACTTCATTCTGCTGATTGAATATACTTTTTGATGTGACTGTATTTCCAGGGGTTTATATCAGACAAGATGGCTGTCCCGGAGTACAAGACAGAGAGCATCAAGAAGCCCCACTTCGTTCTCTTACACTTTAGCATGTTCAAGTCAGGATGGGACTTTATCATACTGTTGGCGACATTTTACGTCGCGGTGGTTGTACCGTACAACGTGGCGTTCGCGCTACCGTGTGAGAAGGGCCGGGGTCCCAACTTTACCAAACCTTCCTTTGTCAGCGATGTCATCGTAGAAATGCTCTTCATCGTAGGTAAGAAAAACTTCTTATCTAAGCAATTAATGACAGTACTTTTCCTTGATTGCAGTAGCACATAGTATTAACATGTCATCGAAGAAATGCTCTTCTTCCTAGGTAAGAGAGTCTAAATTTCTTGGCAATTTATGACTGTCACAGTGTACTACTGGTTACTACTGTGGCGCACCAACTTGAGGCACGACATGCCAGATAAAGCATATAAATAAGTCCTTGTTATTGTGACAAGTTGGCAAATCCCCTACAGTACCCCAGAGAAATTAGACCTCTATGAGAAACAAGATGTACTTAATATTTAGTAGCTTTCCTTGATACGATTAACACAGACTTCAATGAAGGTTAGACATTCAGGTAATTATAATGAGATGCCAACGGAAATTGTTCCTTAAGCAACTGGATAGATTTTAAAAATCAAAAATCAATCTACTTGCTTGACTTACAAATGAAAGATTCATTCTAATATTGTACTTGGATACACTTAATTTCTTTCTTCCAGGTATTACCTTTATAAGCTACATATATTATTAATCACTTCTACCTTTTAAAAAATATATGATATTATCTGAATCAAGTCTTCTTTTTTACAGATATTATACTTAATTTTCGCACGACCTACGTGACCTCGTCCGGTCAGGTAGTGTACGACGCGAGGTCCATCGCCCTGAACTATGCCAAGACCTGGTTCTTTGTGGACCTGATGGCAGCTGTACCGTTCGATCTTCTCTATGCAGTTAACGTGGAAATTGTAAGTACAATCTCATCGTGTGTGTTCTTCTGTCTGAATTATTACGACCCTTAACAGTAAACAATCGTCTAATGAGTATATAAAATTAAATTTAAGATGGTCATCATTCAAGATTGCCATCATTTAAAACGACCTCCATTTGAAATGTATGATGCACCGTTTTGAGGAACATTGACATAGTCACATAAAAAGTCGATGGTACAGTCAAAATAGATGGCCACCATTCAAGATGACCACCATTGTGTTAGAATTCTGTTCCTGTCAGATATTTACAACCGTAAAATCACAAGCTACTGTATTCAGAACTCGCTTTTAAAATTGTTTACCTTGCATATATAAGCCTCACCAGGTTACCATCCTGTATGGTTAATTGCGTTGGCTGCCATACTTGCTCCGGGTGAGCAAATATAGGAGCAAGCGTAAACTCTATAGGATGGAATGCAGGCTGCCATAAATGGGTCTTTGAATGTTAAGTGTCGTATTTTGAATGTTAAGTGTTTTGCAAATATGGTACGCATGATCTATACTTGATAGTTGACAGCTAAAAGTTTATAAACTACTGAATGCCCTGATACCTTGAGATGAGAGAGCAAGCACCAGAAAAGTCTCTACAAGTTAGACCCTTTTTTTGCAACTAAACTTTGAACTTTTGGAAAGCGGTGTTAGGCCAAGGAGAGTTAGGTTCAATAAAGGTTGTACTGTTACAGTAACATAACCGATCAACAACACAAGAAATGCCTATTTAAATGCCAGACCTGTGTCAGACTGGTTCAAAGATTCTAACAAAAACTACAGTCCATTTTGTGGCCAACAGATTGTTTTTAATACAAATCACGACTGTCACAGTGACACAGCACAGCTTGCAAAGACTGCAATCTTTTGATACTTGCTTTGCCATCTCTTTAAAAGTTCCTTAATGCATTTGTTCACTCCTGAAGCTCCTATAAAACTCTCTGAATGAATGGCCTGCACAATTACGCCTAAGTCTAAGTCTAAGGCAAGCATGTCAGTTTGCACAGCACGAAATGCAGGGAGAGTGAAGCGCCAATCTCTCCGTAAGCACAAACTCTCTGGCACTAATCGCATGACGGCACTCTTCACAATATTCTGCCGCATTATCTTTAATTTCAGTGCTGCTGAGTCCAGTCAAAGACATAATCTATCAAAAGTGCACCTTCTATCTACAATGCGCAATAAGGCTCCTTTTACGTGAAATGCACTAAAAGATTCCCAGAATTAACACCTGCATTCTATGGCTTAAAGAAATGCACCATTCACACGCCTTTCCTTGTGCTCTATCTAAGAGGCTTTCAATGTGTCAGCCTACAAATTAAAATCTAGTTCTAGCTAGTTCTAGCAAGAAGAACTGTATCCTGGAACAAAGTATGACAGAAAGGTGTCCATGTGATGTCAGGGTTGGCAAGGAGAATGTACAAAATGTAGAATGATACAAAGTCATCATTTTCAATCTAAGGATGGATTGTGAGATCACATTCAGTGAGGAGATGGAAAGTTATGTCCCTTGACTTGTCTCAGCAGCCCTGAACACGAATAACACTGACTAGATCGCTAGAATTTACGCATAATGAAGTACAAAGAAAGACTGCTGTAACAATAACTCGTATCACAAGTGCCAACAAGCCAACTAAAACCAACGTGTCATCTTTTCCCCACATCTACTGTCAGAATATTCTAGGCGAGGTACGTATTTTGAACACTTTGTCCACCCCCATATTCCCCCACAACCTCCAAGACCCCAGACTGACACTGAGGCGAGTGGTAGCACAGACTGCCTGCCAGATTCTTAAGGAACTCAAGGAGTCTTGGGCTACTACTTTGCTGTGCAAAAGATATAACCTCTGCATCCTCATAGCATTAAAAATATCCTCAGAAGTCCCCTGCAGGAGACAGCATCTAATAATTAGTTGCAGCCTGTCCGCACCCCCCTCCCCAACTTTGCCTTTTTATGTACATACAACTGAGATTGACTTTAATTCTTACAGCATGACTTTCTACTTTTTAACGACTTTTCTAGTCACCAAGACCCACAAGGCCGAATGAGGTCGATCAGGTACAGTATTTTTCAAACTGTGCGTCCCCACGCATTGGCTACGATGCATCGATCTTGAATGCAGGAATCAACAACCTTGTAAAATCCAAACACATTGTTATGCATGAAAGTTCATCTGTGTTGGTACAAGTCATTATGAAATAAAGACTAAACTTTAATTCATTGTCACAGTAGTGTTGGCAATTAAAGTTAGTCTTTATTTCCAAACACAAATTGTCATTTATTATGGAGGAAGTTTAAGCAGCTGTAATCTCCAACACAAGGAATTTTCGCCTGTACAAGTTCAGTCCTTGACAAAGATTGGAGTTGTACATGTACAGTCAAAAAATTGGGTATGGTCAAATTCTTGTGTTGGAAGTTACAATTTTGACTTCCTTCATAATGATGTTTAACAACACAGATGAACTTTCAAGACACAGTGCTTTTATGTTTAAACTTCAATTGCCAACATGACGAAGTGGGTTCAGTGAGCTCTGGCTCAATTGTAACAAATAATTTGTGGCATTCTCTGGCTCTTTGCAAAGAGGTAAAAGAGGCGTTCCTGACAAAATTGGAGGATGCTACAAATTATCTTTGAACTTTCAATGATGAAATGCATTTGGCATCTCTACATCTTTCATGACTAAAATGGTACACGAGGTTTTGATTCCTGTTCTGCAGCTACTACAGCAACTATGCACGAAGTTGTAGGTCAAATATCCTATAAAATAATCACGTTATTGCCGTAGGACATTGAGGACTTACAACTTTGACACTTTGCACTACTTTCTGCTCTATCTCGTCTGATTCATTTTTTGCAACCCCACACCCGCATGCCCTAACACACATTACACCTGAATTCCAAATAGAGATGGACCATGAAGTATGATAATCAAATTATAATCAAAGTTGCCATATTGTCTCTCATTATGTGTCCTTTTGTGTCATTTACAAGTTATGAAATATCAACTTAAAGTTTGGAAATAATTGTTTCCTTGATGCCTAGACATGGTCCGTCTCTGTCACATATCCCTTTTTTGCAAGTTTTAACCTGGCACTTATTATTGAGAAGAATGTATAATGTAGGCATGCATTGACTATATGCATGCCAACATTGTTTAAGGTTTATAAACTTTAAGATACTCCAACGTAAGATGTCCCAAATTCCTTCGTAATAAGGAAATTGAATACAATTGCCATTGCCAAGTCACTCAAGCATGGACTTGAAGACCATGCTTAGTAACTTGGCAATGAGCTTAAAAGGTAAAAATTCATTTCAGCCACCTCCATTGCCATTCTAGTTATGCAAACATATTGCTAAAAGGAAAACATGGCTCCTTAAAATTTACACTGACTATCCTTTACCCATAAAACAAATGTTAGGTCTCTTAAAAACGTAAAATCAAACTTGGTACGACTTTCAATTGACTTTCTTGACTGCCTCCAAATAGCACATCAATGTCCACCAGTACCATAAAAAATTTTAATAGACAGAATGATGCATAGATATACTAGGAAGATCACTTTAAAAAAAAGTGGCAAAAAAGTGAAAAAAATAACATGATAATATGTGATGTGATGTGCAAAAAAGATAAACTTTTGACATTTTTTCCGTGACTCAATCCTAAGGAATTGCCAAAACTCTTTTCATGATCAGAATATTTTGCCGTTGATCAAAAAATGCTAACATATGAAAGAACAATCCACGAGTATAGTCCCATATACTATGGCCTCAGCTCAAATTCCTGAGAACCAGTCTAGAATCAAGAGGAATTGAAGTCATCTTCCGGCAGGAGACGAAAACCCAAACATGGCTTCTAACTCTGACACACTACTTATAGTGTTGCTTTTTCATTGTTTTCAGACTTCCTTCGTGCATCTTATGAAAACGGTCCGGTTGCTGAGGCTAGCCAGACTTATGCAGAAGCTGGACAGGTGGTCGCAGTACAGTGCGCTGGTGCTAACCCTCCTGATGTCGTTCTTTGGGCTCCTCGCTCATTGGCTGGCGTGCATTTGGTACGTCATAGGCCGCGAGGAACTCAAGACGCATCGGTGGGAATTGGGTGAGTTAATCGCAATAAGCCACCTCACAGTTCTGAATGTGCATGTGCGAGTGATGCATTCTGCAAATATTCCCACAAAGCACATAGCTTTACATCTTTTGACTTTAACATCTTTTAAAATTGCATCAAAAGACAAAGGGAGAAAGGTTGCAGATGAGTCGTCGATTGATTTTGATTTGCACTGGCACCAGCTTATTATGTAATTCTTTCTGTTCTCTTCATTGTTGTTACTTTTCTTTATTTGTATGTGTGAGAGGGCCTCAAAGGTATTATGTGTATGAAGCTAAATAGAGAAATAAAGCATCCAAGTATTATAATAGAAATATAATAATTACTTTTGCCCAAAATATATGTGAATAAAATGAAATAATTATATGTGGATAATTAAATGAAACAATTATTTTGTTCCAGGGTGGTTGTTTGAGTTGTCGAGAAGAATAGATCAGCCTTACGCTCTAGGTGCAGGTTGCGGGGCGGCCGCCAACAGTTCTATTTTTAACTCGACAAGTAACTTTACAGAAGGGACAGACTTACTCAGACCCTCCGAAGGGGGGCCTGACATCACAAGTGCCTATCTTACAGGTAAGCTGAAACTTGTAGATATTTTCCTTGAAGGTTTTAGGCATAGAATCAATATGATGTGGTATATTTATTGGTGTGGAAGGTGTTCAGCACCAAGGACAGGGCTAGACCATGGTGTGGAAAGTGTTCAGCACCAAAGACAGGGCTAGACCATGGTGTGGAAAGTGTTCAGCACCAAGGACAGGGCTAGACCATGGTGTGGAAAGTGTTCAGCACCAAGGACAGGGCTAGACCATGGTGTGGAAAGTGTTCAGCACCAAGGACAGGGCTAGACCATGGTGTGGAAAGTGTTCAGCACCAAGGACAGGGCTAGACCATGATGTGGAAGGTGTTCAGCACCAAGGACAGGGCTAGACCATGGTGTGGAAAGTGTTCAGCACCAAGGACAGGGCTAGACCAGGCTATTGACAATTGTTAAAACAATTGTTTGCATAAGAGATTATATGATTCAGTCGATATTGTTGTTAACATAAGCCTCATTCATCAGACACAACATGATTTTCACAACATGATTAATATTGTCCATCATTTTTCTGTTTTAGCGCTCTACTTTACATTAAGCAGTCTCACCAGTGTTGGCTTCGGCAATGTTTCCGCCAACACCAATGCTGAGAAGATATTTTCCGTGTGTACAATGATGATTGGAGGTAAACAAGCTACGTTCTACTTGCTGTTTACTATGTAATACTGTGCATAACGTAAGGAGGGTAGACATTAAGGCAGTTGTGTCATATTTTCCTACTACTAGTAGAAGTCTATCTCAAGTATGAAGAAATGACTTTTAATTAGTAACCTAATATTCTGTTGTATTCTGTTGTATTGTCGTTTCACATTCGTTGAAATGTGTGGTAGGAAGTGCTATCAGTAAGCTTTTGGCCCCCTAGTAGCCGCTGTTTTAGGAACATGTACTGTGGTACTTTTTGTTGGAGACTTTGAGAGTGGATACCTTAAGAAGAGAGGACTGCTTTTTAGTGATTTGGGATTGAGGAACACCAACATAATATATGTTAATTATGCAAATAAGGACTTATTTTGGTACAATTAATGAGAAGAATGACTTGTATATTTTCTCTTGCAGCCTTGATGCATGCAGCAGTGTTCGGTAACGTAACGGCAATCATCCAGAGGCTTTATTCCAGGCGGTCCGAGTACCACACCAAGACTAAAGACCTGAAGGAGTTCACCAAGCTACACAACATCCCCAAGGCTCTCAAGACAAGGATGCTCGAGTACTTCCAAGCACACTGGTCGGAAAACCATGGGATAGACAAAGCTGACGTACGTATTATTGTCAAGTTGTCCTTCATATCATCAGGCACTGCACAAAATGTTGGATTCACCCAATATGGTAGTACATGTAAATGCCCGTGAAGTTGGGTTAAGTTTGCTTTGTATACAGTACCAGACTGATGACTCAGCAATTCCCTGACTTACTACTGTTTACTATATACCATTGGTAAATCCAACTTTCTGTGCAGCGAAGCTGATTCTAAGATATTAAAAAAAACGTGAATAAGATTTTGGGTAATACATACAAATCTTGTGAACTAAATGGTAAATTTCTTAGCATGTTTGAAAACAAATTTACTAATGGACTGAGTCAAAGTCTCAAAGATACAACATTGTGCATCTCCGTATGCATATACTGAATTGAGAAGCTGTTCTTTCCCTGATTTTAGATGATGAAAGACTTTCCAGACGAGTTACGAGCAGACATCGCGATGGTCATGCACAAGGAGATCCTGTCTCTGCCTCTCTTCGAAAACGCAAGTCAGGGATGTTTGAGGTACGAAGGAGCCTGTACGAAGCTACTGTAACAGTTTTATAACGTTTGAAATACACCTTATGGGCATGTGACAGAAATGTGATGTAGTTGAAAAGTGTATTGTAGCGTCTAATAAGTTATATCTACATTGTACCATCTGCCATCCTAATGTAGTTCCAGAAAAGATGTCATTTTGATTTACGGCCACATATTGTACCCTGTACAATTGTCAAGCAATAACCCTCAGGCCACACCAATTTAATTTGTTGGTTCTCGGATTCACCTCTTCGTTTTTTTCTGATTTGCAAAAAAAAAAAAGAAATTGATTCTGGTCCTGAATCAACTGAATAATGCTCATGTTTTGCCCCCAACAGTTGAGGAAAGTCCTTTTCTTCCTAGTTGTTACAGTTTTCCCATCTATCATTGCAGTGGTTTGATTAAAAGTTCAAAATTCAATGTTTAAATTTTAACCCAGCCTTTTGTGTTGACTTCATGGCTCATTTTGTAGCATTTAAGCCTATAATAGGATGCCTAGACCTGTTTTTATTTTTATTCTTTTTCGCCCTGTCGCTTCATATTTTTTCTGAAAAAATCCGAGAACCAACAAATTAAATTGGTGTGGCCTCATTCATGTTTGGCTAGGTGTGTGAGCTCTTACATAGGAATTCAATGTAGCATTAAGATAAGAAAACCATCTGCATAAATTTAGTGCAAGTTTGATATATCAGTGATGCAAGACACAACAGAGAATGCGATTGTAGAAGAAAGTACAGGGCATGAAAATATCCGATCTCTGAAGATAAATGTATGATTTGATACTTACGATCCTATCTTGCCTTGGCAGGTCCTTGAGTCTACACATCAAGACGACATTCTGTGCGCCGGGGGAGTACTTAGTAAGACATGGAGACGCCATGACTACGATGTACTTTGTCTGCAACGGGTCATTAGAAATCCTGAGAAACGGCATGGTTCTTGCTATTTTAGGTGGGTATTTTTTTATTATCAATACTGTACACAGCATTTACTGAGCAGACAGAGCAGACATGACATGATACAGACAAACTCGAGCTCTTAGCTTAATTTTTAATGTCATCACACCATTGAGCAAGCACTACAGCAGGCGGCTAGTCCACTGGTAGTGTTGTGTGTTTCATGTTCCCATACTCTTTCCCAAATGCTGACATGCAGAATGTCTTCAGGGTATGACCCGGCCGGAGTTTGAACTAAGGACCTGTTTCCTATTATTACTAATATCATCATAATTTTATCATTAAGTAATTATAAATTGTGGGGTGGGATTGTGTGGCATAGTGGCAGAGTGCTTGACTCGGAATCAAGAAGTCCCGGGTTCAAGTCCTGACATGCCACCGATCTTGTGCCCTTGGCAAAGGCACTTTACATGACTTTCCTCACTTCGCTTAGGTGAAAATGAGTATTGTATTGTCCCATGTTGGTGGCGGCATTAATATAAGTTGAAAAAACTTGAATGTGCCGTCACCACGTCTTGTGATTAGATGTTGGAATATATATAAAAAAAATTATAAATTGTCGCTCCCAACCCAGGAAAGGGAGATCTGTTTGGCGCAGATCTGGACGCGGTGGACAACGTGTCCAAGTCAAACGGCGATGTCAAGGCCCTGACGTACTGTGACCTCCAGTTCATCCAGTTGCCGAAGCTGAAGGACGTTTTCAAGCTGTATCCGGAGTTTTTCCAGAAGTTGACCAGGGACGTCAGGCATGACTTGACCTTTAACCTCAGGGACGGATGTGACGCAGGAGAGGAGGTAATTTTAAAAAAAAAGTTTTTCTTCAAAAATCCAAAATTTCCAAATAAAAGTTACTGTAATAAATGCCCAAGCAATTTGAGGAAAATTTGAATCCAAAAATAAGTCTCCAAATGTGATATACCATAATAGGTATATTCTAGTTTCAGAATGTAACATCAAGCTTAATTTACTAAAATTGGTTAAGGTTATTGTAAACTGTAAATATTGCTCTTAAAGTTAGCATATAATTCATCAAGAGCTTTCTAAACATTCCATTCATATGGCGTTGTCATATTATATTCTTTTAACATCATTAACGTTGTTTCGATTCTATCCCCGTCACGTTCACTCCTGAACATATAGAGACCACGGAGTTATACAAGGAAGGTAAACAAAGACATCTTGCTGAAGTCAATAACAAATGCCTCCTCACTAGCTTGCCTTAGCTTAACATCATAACATCATAATCATATCGGCATGATTGTGACATAACTGGGGCTTTAGATAATTCTGCAGTCATAACTAGTGCACGGTAGAGTAGCATGCCGACGTACCTTCACTGGTTTCCAGATTGCCGCTAATCCTACCAAGGTGTGTGCCTACAATAACATAGAGATAGAGGGTGTTAAACATGGCCATGTTGGTATAGCATGGACAATAGCAAATTTGTAAATGCCTCTGCTCCTGAGGCGTTACCAAAAACACCAAAAGTTAATAATAAGTGTAGTTGGTTTGTTACATGAACCAGCATCTTTGATTTGTGCTTTGGAGGCGTTGAACTACTACATTGTAGCATGGCTGATGATAATATAAAATAACTAGCATACATTAGCCACTCACAGTTAGTCAATCTTAATAGCATGAGGTGTAATATTAATTTTCTCCAAACTCTGTCTCTTCAACATATTAATTTGATACTAACTCCAACTTCTAACTGACTAGCCTTCTGACTGAAGACTGGAAATGATATTATGATGTCGAAAGTTGACCCTGAAAATTACCTCTGTCTGCTTGGCACAACGACATTGTAGCATGTGTCTGAAACTGCTCTTTTCCAAAATCTCCAACAAAATCCGCTTAAGGTGTCATCCACAGCTTGCCATCTGTAATAACATAATTATTGCATTTGATACCAACATAACTAACATATCAGCAACTTCTTTGCTCCTATTTCCCTATATCTTATAGGCAACAGTTGTTAATAACCTCCTACTTTAAATCAACAGGAGCCCCTGTCCTTTCCTTTTTTAATCTTGTATTTGATATCCTTTTGCAAGGCTTGCAGAGCATTTTCACTCAATGAAATAGTAACCGTTATTACGTGATGGCAACCATATTGGTGTCCGTATTTGCAATGGTACAATGCAATTTTCCGTTTTAGTTTCTATTAGTATTAGTATGGCATTACATATACCCTCTTTGATCTGTTTTGATTTAAAAGAGGTATGATCCACTGAAGTGCAAATAATGACACCAATATGGCAGCCAACGCAGTACTGACGTCACACGCAAATGCTCTATTCCATCACGACATCTCTACGTCACTTGACATCTATCCTTGGGCCTACATACAATCTTTCAATCATGCAAAAGCCTTAGGATGACATAAATTTGTTTGTCTTTTCTTTTTCCCTCAGCATGATCAGGACGCGGCCGATCACGTACCGAAGTTGCCGTCGATTAGCGAAGATGACGAACTGGAGGATGACGATGACGCAACTTCGTCGCCTCAGAGTCCGGAGGAGAAACCGGGCGTTCCGAAGCCGCCCAGGTTAAACCTTCCCAGGAACTCTCTGCCAGAATCTTCGACAACGAACCTCAGTCCAAGGTTAGGATCATGTTACCATACGAGACAAGATATTCCTTCTTATGTTCTGATCAATCTGTTGCAAAGTCTTCAAGGAAAAGAGAGGTTACAACGTCTGACTAGCTCAGAACATGTCTCTGTATTTTTTGTTGGACAAAAGTGGCACTGATAACTGCTAAGAAACTCGTGGTTTGACAGCAGAACTTGAGACTTTGGTTATCTTGGTTTTCAAAGTAACTAATGAACACATTACTTGTCAATGAATGTCCTATATGTGAGCCATTGATTCCCCAATACTTCTTCTCATAAAAAGCTCGTATGAAAGAGTACACACCAGTATTTGTCTGTATTGCGTTTGCGTTAAACTATGTCGATTTTCTTTAATTTCATTTGAAATTCTCCCAATCCTTGCAGTCTATGTTGATGAAAGGATGTAGTACTGAAAAGTATCGTAGGTGTTTGGATGTACGTTTTGTGAAAGGCTGTCTTTTGGGTGCGCAAAAGTGTCGTGATCTGAGTTTGTAGCCAGTTTCCGTGTGTTGATGCCGCGTTTGTCTGTATTTTCTACCAAACCGAACCACGTCCGCATGCTCCCCGGCTTGTAGTGTTCGTACATGTTCGTCTAGGCTTCCCTTCCCAGTGGTTGTTTGTCTGACGCAACAAGCATGGCTGCAATGTAATAAGGTAAAACATCAGCCAGGTCTACCTTCTATTTTCCAACAACTTGGTGGCTTGCGACATGCTGCAAACTTATGGTGGTAGGCATAAGGCATCATTCAAAGGACCTGGCTGGTCTTTGTACGTAGTGCAAACGACCCTGACCCCCGTCCTCCCCTGGCGATCTTGAAACATTATATAATAACCTTGTCTAAATGTAGATTTTGTCTTGAATGTAGATCGATAGACGGTAGTGAGGAAACATTCGATAGATGGTCAGGCAGCCGCGCTTTCGAGTTTCCCTCCCGAAGACGCAGTACGGGAATGACTGGCCTAGAGGCTCGGAGAACCATTCGGTACGATGTGCGGCGGAACAGATCGTGCTTCGTGCCTCATTCCACCATCACCCACCCTCCCTGTTCTTAAACACAGTACTAGACATACTAGTGTATAATCTACATTGGATTCCAATCTACAATTAGTACGAACATGTAGTTTGAAGCTCACCATTGATCACTGACCAATTGTAACCCGTACTTTCATTTAGGTGTTGGTTCATTAGTTTTCATTTGTGGTTGTTTGTTCACAGTCTGTATGACTCTTCCTAGCTTTATTTGTTGCTAATTGCTTTTTCAAATACTTTCACAATGACATTGTATCTTGACAAACAATGTCAATGCAAATCGTACATTTTTGGGTGCTTCATCGGAACATGGTATAATGACATATTTCGAGTTCAATGTAACAAGAAAGCATATGTTTTCCCTTCCTTTGAAATGACAAATATGAACAAAGAGGTGCTGCACTTTAAGGATAAGTTATACAAATTAAATAAACAGCACTACGTTACACAAATCAAGAACTAAGCAAAAGCTAACCCAAAACTAACATTATAGTAACAGTTGCAAGTACAGATCATATTGCCATATTTTTTCCTAAGGCCACACCAATTTAGTCATTGGTTCTTGGATTCGCCAGCTTCATCCTTTTCCAAACAATTCTAAACTCCAAAAGAACGTACTTAATCTACCTGTAGTTGTTACAGTTTTTCCATCTGTCAATCCTGGTATATTTCATGGCTCATCTTTAGCATTTGGGGCTATCAATCGTAGGATGACTACACCTTGTTTCTTTCGCCCTGTTGCTTCAAACATGTATTTTTCTACAAAAATCTGAGAACCAACTGATTGAATCTGCGTGGCCTAACATCCGTTCCCAGGTTTGTTGACGGAGGTGAGGATGAGAACAGCTTGTGGAAGAGCAGGAGTTTTGAGTTCCCGTCGCGGAAGCGCAGCCCGGTATCGGGGAGGCGGCACCGCTACTCGTTCGGCTGCTGCGAGACGGCGTACGGGCGGGCTCCCTCCGCGCCCCAGCCGCCCTCCACCGGCGCAGGCGCAGGTGACATGGACTACCTCACTGTACCATACGTCCCCGCAGGTTTAACCCTTTTTGTTGCATTTATTCTACTAATTCTCTGTAACTTGGTGATTTATGTTGTAATGAGTGGACGTCTAGCATTGTGACAATAATACACTTATCTACAGCAACATTGTATTTTTCACATTTCTAAACCGATGCCCTTAGAGCTATTTAACTATGACAATATTTTCTTCTCCGTGAGAACTAGGCAGCTGCAAGATGTCTAATGCTACAGGGGTAGTTTATGGCCTATCTTTAAAGTTAGATGTCCCATTGTTCCTAGCCTTGGTGTTGAACACCATTCATCAGTTGAATGCTATTGTCAGATTTCCCAAGCGTTGCCCTACCGGGTAGTTAATTCATATCCTATTTCACACTTTCGGGCAAGCCCTGTTTGATTTTAAACTTAGACGTCCCACTGTTCCTGGCCTTGGTGCTGAACACCATTCTGTTGTATGCTATATGCTAACTGCCACACTAATCTTTGGTTCTCATTTAAAAGGACAGCAGTATACCATTAGTATAATGTAAACTAACTAAACATACTTTCTAGCTTTGTAGGTCTAAGTGAACACTGCTTCAGTTTCCACTAACTTGAGATTTTTTTTTGGCCCGTAGTGTTTTTATTACTGTCGAAATAGCAGAAAGTAAACACATTTTGAACATACTAGTATCAGTAAAAGATAACACGCAAATAACAATTAATGTGCAACCAGCTGGCAAGCCCAACTGCTTTGCATGCCTTAAAAATTGAACAACACACTACTTATGTTTTACTCAAAAAGGCTGTATAAAAGAGCTAAAAACAGCAACAAATGGATTCTCCAATGTCGTGAATCCTTCTTGATGTCCCAATAGCAGATAATATTTAATTATTGGTTGATTTCATTTTATTTTGAATGACACATTGTTGTCGGATTGGCTCAAAATAAATAGACAAACCAAAGAAAGAACGTTCCTCTGTAACATGCAATAGATAAGTAAAAAGTGTGCAATTTCAATGAAGTACATTGTAACTACGTCAACCTTGTTAAGGGATATGAATTGATTCTATGGCAATGCCAATTATGCATAACAGGAACCCAAATGATAAATTAAAACATGTAAAACACGTTGACAATGCTAGAAGTCCATTCATTTCATTTTAAGCTTGTTGTAAAATCACATTAACCATCTGTCAGTCGTATTCCATGGTGGCGTAACTACAGGTGGCCTCGTAAGTATGGTGCAGACAACTGTGATGTGGAACATTACATGATGTTAGGTGTTGATGTTCCTTATGCTCTTCTTTGCCAACGTTTTTCTCTGTTTACATACGGCATGGTGATCTGCCAATTTTTTTCTACTTTTGCCAGGTAAGTAGTGTTTTGACCTGAGTCTTCGCAATGCCTCCAACGTTTCAGAACAACCATCATTATTATACTACTGGCTTCTTCTATACTTCTATGTCATTTCTTGTGCACTTTTGGTGCTATGTTTACAGTGACACCAAATAGACGATTTGTGTTTTCAACAACACATCATTTTTGTCATCTATTTGCTTGCATTGGTAGAATAAAAGGAAATCTCAGAGGCTTACTTTTGACTTAGTAGGAAAGTTTTGCCACTAGAAAGACAGTGCTGACTTAGCAAAGTGCAAATTGCTACATACATTGTCCCTTGCAAAAAAAATTGAAAACACAGAAAAAACATGACCCTGTGACACTGTGAGTGATCGGTGATTGTTCCATTTTTCCTGACAACTTTGAACAGCAAAATATCAATGATTTGAAAAATGGTAGAACTTCAACATCGTCTGATACATGATGATTGCTTCCCGTTACTTAACTATGTACTTTGATGGTAGTGTATAACGTTCACATTGATGGTTCAAAGATATTGTACTAAGTGTTTTTGTCAGGAAAACTGCAGCAAGCTCTTATGTGGTGTTTTGGATGTAACTGATTGTTTTTGAAAACCCCTCTGCATGCAGGCGATCAGCACAGACGAAGTTCCGTTCCTTGGGAGATGACGTTAGATGACATTGGTAACCATGACGATTAGTAAATACGTAGAGCGCAGCTAGAGTAGTTGCCATTTGCAAATGCAGTAGTATAGCAAACTATCGCGTAGACTGTAGTTGCCATGCAGTATATAGTGCGCATCTTTCCTGAAGTCCCTTTCTCATTGCCCTTCCTGTACTGAAACTTTGGCTTTTCCTCACAATATTTTTCTGTCATTTGTAAGATAAACACAGTTGGTTTCTGGGCCATTTTCTACAGGAGAGTCGAGACTCAGTTCTACGTCGAACCTAGACGCAGCTTCTGAGTTAAGAGGCGAGGTTGAGTACACCAGGAGCACGGTAGACAGACTGGACAAACAGGTACGTCACAAAACACAGGGTACGTTACCTACGTCATCAAAATGGCAAATGGTGATAGGTTGTCCATGTCACTACTCGATGGTCGCCTGCCACCATTTTGATGACATAGATTGTACCCCATCAGTATGTCAGACTTAAGGACTGTGACCTATGGACTCCGGTTCCTTTTTTTTTACGATAAACCAATGACAAGTATCCACAATGTACATTAGTAGCCCTAATGGCTTGTGATTTTCTTCCTTATCTGCATGTGGCCCGTTAGTATCACCTTAATCTCCAAGCAGATTCTCGGGGGCCATGAGAGTCTACAGGCTACAGGCAGCCGGCAATAGACTCCTCTTGCCACCTAGAATCTCATCCAAAAAGATCCTATCACCTGGCAAACCTAACATCTCCTCCCGGTAAAAGTTGACAACATATAAAAAATGGCCATGAAATGACAGTACCACAGTACGAAACACATCTGACGTGTTTTTTTTTTCAGGTGTCATCTTTGACCAGAGACGTAGCGACTATGAGTGCGGATCTGCGGCAGTTGATGCAGCTGATGCAGGCCCACGTGGCGGCCACGTCAGGAGCTGCGGTCTCAACATCCAGTTCTCCTACGCAACCTAAAGCCACGGTCGAACGCCATCAATCAATGAGTCCTTCCCTTGCCCAGAGCGGGCGTGGATCCAGCTTGGACACCAATAGCAGTTCGAGTAGCCGCGTCACTGTCATCCCCATGTCGAATTCTAGAGAACCTTTGCTCGAAAAACAAGACTGCGTGTTCGAGAGCGAAGAGAGCCTGCCGAGTAGAGGTAGCAGGTCAAGTAGCGTATCAAGTGCTTCTTCAGCAAGAAAACTTTCTCCGCCAAGATTATACAACGGACCTAACGACGGCACGCAGGAGACTGACGTAGAGTCTGGTGGATCGTTTCCGAGCAGTACGGATTTGTAACAGAATCTTTTTAGACAACTAGAACTAACCGTGTAGATAATGCAAATTAGGTCAATTCTTGTGCATACATACATGACATAAGGAAGGGGCGTATTCTTCTTTTCCGTCCATCGATGTCTCTTAGCAGCATTTCTTCTCATCGACGTCTTCACTTCAGAGACGAGCAAGCTTCGTAGTTGTGACGATTCCCGGATTCTGCTGACCTGGATGACAGTAGCAAAAAGGGTAGATAAAAAAATTCTTCAGTATGCGGAATCATGATGCAAAAATGCTAATCAATTAATGGTACATCTGCACATCTGACATATTACGCTCATGCCTTTAGATCTAAGTATTGATACCTGGGATAATCTGTTATTAGCTACACCTAAAACTACTTCACTCTTTGGTACTAGAAAAATGGAAGTACTAAATAAGTGGTCGCCATTTTGAACACGAAGTCCAGCGATAGGTGTTCACAAATACCGCAAGACTTCACACATAATGTTTAAATTCTAAAGATGGCGAGAGGAGTGTTAGTAACACAAATTGATCGCAAGAACGATGTACCTAATGTCCCTCTGAAACAGCTACCTCCCCCAGGCAAAAAATATTATTTCAAGGACCGACAATCATCTACCTAAACTATGCAAATGTCCCTCTCTGCTGCGAGCAATAAAGCCAAGCAAGCTTAAGCTGATAAAGAATCGACCAACGGCAAAAAATACCATTTGATCAAATTACTGATTATCGTGTATATAGTAGAGGGGATGTATTCCTCAAGCTAACCGACATCTTGCACACACAGTCGTCCCTCATATTGGCATCTGGAGATACATAGTTCCCGTTTAGAACTTTTATTCAGCCTGTCACACAACAGGAACTATGCAGCTTCAGATGTCTTACTGAGGGATGATTGCATGCACAAGATTAGCTATAGGAATGAATCCCCTCTACTATATACTGAACAGTATCGTGACGTATTCTGGGTTTTGTGTGTAACAGTATTTGTACATTGGACGTTTAAATGCCAGGATATAACAACAGAAGTACAGGACCTGGTATATTTTTAAATTCTTTGCCACTATTTTGTCAAGATATCAAAACATAACAAGTATTTGTTGCTTTTATGCATCATTTAAGTACACTGGATGTTATTGAGAATAATCACTTTTTGGTGATAAAACTGAAATTAGATAAACAAGCGTTGTCAGTGTTGTTTTGTTTACATTGAAATCTTCAATGACAGATAAACAACAACTTTCTTTCTAGGAAAGAGATATACATTCTTGATGTATGGTTTTTATATATATGTTCTACCCAGTGCTTGGTATCATTATTGAAGTAGCTACTTACTTAATAACGTCACTTAAATGTTAACCATTCTCTGCAAATACTGTCCATGTGCATCATAATTGTTGTTGTTGAGGCGGGACGTTCCATTTAATTTTGGGGAGGTATAATCTATCGTACGGTCGAGATTATTTGTTATTTCAATAGTTTGACGGCATACTTTGTAAAGTACACTGAAAAGGGAAATCTTAATTTTTGTGTTTACTGCTGTATATATATATGTACGGCTAAGGACGATACACAGTAATGTCTTGTAAACAATTCACACCCCTTGATGAATTCAACATTCGATAGGCGAGCGCCGCCTACCGAGTCATTTTGCTGCTGCAGCTCTAGCAATCTGCACCCTCATGCGACAAATCTCTGCACTGCATATATAATAAATTCATTGAAGGGAATTTGTGGGGATGTTAAAAATGATTACAGAAAACGATTCACGTTTGTTTTCAGAATAATTAGATCTAAACAATATGGTACTTTTAGACTTCAAAAAGCCAAATAATATTTGAGCAGTGAAATAGAATAGCAGGAATGGTACAAACACGAATGAATTATACCACATCCCCGCACTTCTCTCGACCATAACTTTTGCATTAGCAATGATGATATGTACATAACTGCCAGAATGACGCTCGCTGCACATGTATGTACGTATGTATATAGTACCTCCCAACTTCCTTAGATATGTACATAGGACAGACTGAATATGACGAATGTACTACGAGTCTTTTCTTATAGAAAATAAAGATGCTCAAATAGACTCTCGTATTTCATTCATATAGTTATATAAATATCTCAACATAATATTATTTTGAAAACAATTCTACGTAGTACTTTGCTCTGTTCTTCTGATACCAACTGTAATATCACGTTAACCACACAAGAAGAATTCAAATGCAGAAAAATCGCATGATTGTCATCCATAACATAGTTGTTGATAATTTGAGTAGTAGTTTACATAATTCTTCATCTTTATTCATAGGGCGTTGTTGTTGTTCCGTAAAAATTTAAAGGCTTCAGCAACATGGAAGTGGGTGTGTGTTTGTTTGTTTTCGTCTGTCGTTCCGACACGCCAGACAACTTTTCTTGCCAATTACATAATGTCAACTGACAATACGCTAAACTCAAGAGGAATAAGAAACAGGTGTATCATTTTCCCCCATAACAAGCCATTCCTGTCATTGTCGCAAATCGATCTGTGCCTCTAGTTCTGGGGGTATCTTGCTTCTTTTTAATCGATGCCCTCTTTGGTCTCAGTCATCAAATAAAATCAAGCCAATGTAGCGTTCAGTTAATTCTTAGATTATTTTGATTCTGAAATATTTAATTCTACAGACTTTGTACTCTCAGTACATGTGTGAAGGAAAGTCATATTCAATAGACTAAAATCAATCCTAAGTTATTTCTGATGCTGAATAAAAGACAGCAGGGCGGCTTCTCGGAAAGTGTTTTAGAGATCTTTCCATCTGTCGCTATAGCCTGAGGGGTGAAATGCCACAATGGCAAGATGGTTAGAGTTACTCTCTTCTGCTTCAGAAGACTTGCAGTGCTTTCTTTGATCCGTATTAATCACCAGTTGACAATAGAGATACTTTAAGAGATCAAAAGTTGGTGGTAAGCTTTTCCAAGTCCTAGAAATCGCGCGTAACTAATGTCCGTCCAGTGCCAGGTAGAGGAGAAACTCACATAAATTTATAACTCATGAAGCCACTTCCAACACAGTACTATTTTCTATAAAAATGCTTGAGATATGTCGTAAGTGTGTGGATATACTAGTTTTAGCCAGGTACAACCAAGAGAACGGATTTTGTGTGATGGACCCCGTCCGGACGCGATGTTGTGGGTTGGGCAGATTGTTCTGCGTCGGTTTTGCATCAGCCTCCACCAAGACTTCCTACGGGGATACGGATCGTAGAATTCGGTCAAAAAGGGAATATAATGATTAGCTAGGAGAGTCAATCCGTGGGAAGGTTGATTTCTTTATCCGAAGTAACTGCGCGGGCGAATGAACTTTACGACCAAACTCCCCTGGCCAATTATTCGTTATTTGGCTTAACATTACTAATTTTGAGCCCGCGTTGTTATTCTTGTGAAGACTAGTTTTGAACCAACCCCAAGATAATTTCCTCACAAAGACAGGCGTAACCGTCCCCGCCCCACACAGACAACGTTGAACGTCCCCCAGGATTACATGAACAAGCTGAAGATCGCTGATTGTAAATGTAATTTTGTAGTCTGTGACAATTATCAACTTTTCTTGCATATCATGACTTTGATCAATGAAATCCATTACACTGTCTAGAAAAAGGCAACACCTGTCGGAAGAAGAAAGTTGAATACATGTACACGCCCCAAAGTGCTCTGTCTTGATTAATTCACAGCGGATGCCTTGTGGGCCTTTGCCCATTCTTTCTTTATATCTCTACCATCAGAATGTTCAAAATGCAGTCCAACGACCTATTCCATCATACCTACATTGTTGTAGAACACACAAGACGGGTGCCGCTCCCATATAATCGAGTCACACCTGTTACTGCATACATTTATGACTAAAAGAGAATGAGAAATTCACACGTTGAAATGAACGAAAACATAATTTCAAACTTTCTTAAGAGCGAGATTCAATCATTGTTTCACAACTTAAGTTTTCCGCGATCCCTTGGCTATATCATGTTTCCATTGCTTTCCATAATTATAAGCCATGCAGTTCACAGTTTGGGCAAAAGAATGTGGCTCAGTTCCGCTTGTCAATTATGCCCCATCCGGTATGCAAGAACACAAAGCCCGCAAAGAGTCTTCCTTAAGTAAACAACGCACGTCTTCCATCTGTGTAGAAAAGTGTGTAATGCCCTTAATTCTCACAGCAGAACTGGAAAATTCCCTCGCTACCGACAACGTATTCTAATAACTAAGGCGTAGCTTCAGATTATGCGTGATACGCGCTATACATAATTCAAGTACGGAAAAGTCTATTGTAAGGTATAATTATCGACACGGTAGGCCACAGGCACGCCCGTATATTAAAGATTTGGCCAATCGCGTGGCAGTAAAGAGATAATTGACGTGGTCAGCAGACAGTAACGGGGCGTCTATAAGAGCAACAGGTTGCCGCGTGGCTTCACCACTGAGGTAACAGCTTGTACACCGGACGTCGTCCCGTCTGTACGTTCTTCCGTCTCTCCGTGCCCGAGCATCAGACCCAGACACCATGTCTTACCAGAACTACAGCTACTCTAGCAGCAGCACCGGCGGTGGTGCAGGAGGCGCCGGCGGGAGCCTCCGGCTCGGCAGCGGGGGCGGCTTCCAGCAGGTGAGCTCCTTCAGCGACGGCGGGTCTTACCGCACGTCGTGGAGCACCGGGGGCGGTGGCGGCGCGCGGGCCAGCTACAGCGCGGGGAGTCTCAATGCCTCCTCGGGCGCGCTGGTCCCCGTGAGCCGTACCCGCTCGTACGTCCAGTACGGCGCTGGCGGTGGTGGCGGCGGCGGCAGCGTCGCCTTCGAGGCCAACGAGAAGATCGAGATGCAGTCGCTCAACAACCGCCTGGGCAGCTACATCGCAAAGGTCCGCGCCCTGGAGGAGGCCAACCGCAACCTGCAGGTACAGATCAACGAGGCTTCCAGCGTGCAGGTGGTGACCGACGACGGCATCGACTGGGCTGCGGAGCTGGCGGCGGCCCGGGAGGCGCTCCTCGCCGCTAACCTTGAGCGGGCCCGCGTCGAGATCGAGCGGGACAGCGTCCTGTTGGAGGTGAACCAGTGGCAGGACAAGTAAGTCATTCGTGAACTAACTTTGTTTGGGACTGCATGGGTCGAGCTAGCCTCTACCAGACTTCGGGAGGCGACTGGAAAGAGTAGAAATCGGCCAAATAGAGAGATGGCCTGCTAGGGGAATCAGTCTTCTGGAGAGAACAGTTTGCCCCACCCGAAAAACTGTTCTCTCCAGAAGACCAGCTCCCCTGTCATGCTATCTCTGTATTTGTTCGATTTCTACTCTTTCCAGCCTCCCTCCGAAGCCTGGTAGAGACTAGGGACTGCATGGGTCGAGCTTGCTAAAGTTAGCGCATACTAAGTAGTGCATGGAGATCAAATGGCACTAGTAACATTTTAAAAGAGAGTTAACGTTCCTTCTGGAATTCATCCAGTGGCAGGACAAGCGAGTCATTCATGAACTAATTATAACTTTGTTCGGGACTGTACCGGGTCAGACTTGCTAAAGTAATAGCACGTGCGTGTTAGGGCATACTAACTAGTGCGTGGAGATCAAATGGCACTTGCTAGCGTTTGAAAAGCGGGACGGGTGGTACCATGTTTAGAGAGACTTTTAGTGAATTTTGTGACATGAATTCCTATCCATTCGTCTATTCATCTACTAAAAGGCTCAAACTACTTGGTAGCCCCATTCAAGTGTGAGTAGTTGTTTTTAAATGGGGCGTACTATTACAAAACAGTACAGAACCCAAGACGTGCGCGCTTTGCACTTTAAGTTGCGCCAAAATGAAGCCGCAAGAGTTTCAATCTGTTCCTTATTAGCGAAACAAGCACTTTAGTGGTCTAAAATGTACAAAATAGGTACATTTCAAAGACAAAGAGTGGATCTCATCTTGATAACATCTTTGACTAGACAAGCGTTGTCTTTATACTCATGGGACGTAAAGCAGGTGTTTGCACTATTTAAACCAAAGACGCTCTCAAGCAAGTAGCTAGTGATTATGCTGTCATTGATAATTAGAATTTATAATGACAAATTCCCAATAGTCTGCCCCTTGGCACTGGGAATGCCTCCACCCACCCCTAATTATCACACGAAGACAAAGACGTGAGCAGACTACTAACGATCAAGTCATTACGTCCTTTCATGAGAACCTTTCTGCCTGACTGGTCCGCGTTGGCACAACATAAAGAAAAAGATAATATCTTTAAGTCGCATGAAAGGTTGGGCAGTAATTACATTCTATGTTACCATGGTAACGGAAGTGGTCCGATTTCCGAGAAGCATTAAGGACCGCCCGCGCATGCGGAGTTAAGCGTCGTCAGAAAGGGGCGTGTCCACCCCAACACATCTGGTGTTAACTTAAGTCAAGAAATTATAAACCGTGCAAAATGTTCGCTTAGTATAAAGATATACCATATGATCATCTAAATAGTTTTCATTCATTAACTGATTGCTGATAGTTTACAAGCGGGAATTAAGAGATTTTTAAGCTAAAGAGTTGGCCACGCCCACTTTAACACCTGTTCATTACTCAAGGCGCAAGCAGCTATGTAAAAAGAAATATCATTGGACTATCCTGAAAAATACATTTGACGCAACAAATTCAGTTTTAGCCGTGTGAGAAACCTGTTTGGAACGGAATGTTCACTTAATCTACTTCTCTTCAGAAAACAGGCACAGAATATTACATGTAAATCCAACAGTAGTCCCTTGTACCAGCTACCATTGTTTAGGGATAAGCAGAGAAATCTGGTCTGACCGGTTTTCTGTATTGTGTAGACAAAATCAGACCTAGGGATGGGGTCTTGGTCTCCGTCATTCCCAGACGAATGCCATGCCTACCGTATTACTCACATTGCCTATTAACTAAGCGTTCATCGAACCATAGATCCTTAGTAAAGGAAAGGGTTCGTCACTGTTACAAAGGCTGATGATGATAAAATCAGAAATAATTTATCAACAAACATTACTCAGTATTCAGTAGACATGGCTATCAAAGTTAGAATTTGTAACTAAAAGCATCAATGCCATTTTTTCTTTGAGTTTGTTGGGTTTCTATTGAGTTTGGAGCATTTTAGGGATATTTCAGTGTCGTCAGGACAGGGGTGTTTCATAAAGACTTCTATCTGCCCATCCCTCCCCAGATCTCGTGAAATAGCCCTTTGCTCTTGGTCACACGTGGTTAACCGTTGACTGTAGACTGTTACCATGTCATGTGGCATTGTGCCAAAAGATAGACTCAAATAAAGAGCCAGTTGTAGGAAAATTGCAGTTAAGCCTTGCATTGAGAAAAATTAAAGAATCCTACATAAACCGCGTCCTTCAATGAAGGAAGTCACCTACAGAAAGAGACTACGTGATACAACTTTGTCGAAGCGCGAAGAGTGAAGTTTTACGATGTACACACGCCTGTTGGAAAACATAGAAAACTCATGATTATCTTTCCATCTCTTTTCTACAGGATCACCGGAGTCATGGAGCAGCGCGCTGTCCTGGACGACGAACTCAACATGCTGAGGAGGGTAAGATAAATTTACTATGAAGTTTATACTTCATTCTTTCAAAATGGTAGGAAGAGTCTCAGTGAACGATGTATATAAACATGTAATGTTATTCGGTAAATGTGATGTTCTCGTTCGAAGTTACTGAAAGAAATAGTCTCGTTCTCAGCTATTGAAAGAAACGGTCTCATTCCTCAGGTTATTGAAAAATAGTCACGCTCTCAGTCACTTCAAAAGATTTCCTCGTTCCCAGCTATAAAAAGAAATCGCTTTGTTCCAATTACTGAAGAATTAGTCTCGTTCCCGGCTATTGAAAAAGATAGTCTCGTTCCCGGTTACTTAAAAATGATGTCGTTCCCAGGAATCTGATGAGCTGACGATGGAGAAGGTTGACCTGGAGGGTCAGATCGAGGGCGCGAAGGGCGAGCTGGAGTTCGTCAAGCAGCTGCACGACCAGGAGGTGGCCGAGCTCAAGTCGCGCATCTCAGCGCAGACCGTCGTGGAGATCAAGTCAGAGTAAGTAGCATTTCTGTTTTCTTGTGTTTTAAGAATGGTTCACAAGGTAAAACGTATTGAATGTAAATACCTGCTCATAGCTATCTGCTCAATTCAGGCTCTGTAAGTTTGCAATGTGGTATATGTACTGGATTTGTGACAGCCGCAGTAGCGAAACTTTGAAGAAGTCAAAAATCCTACTGCATTATCATGGAGTTAATGGGGGGTCACCATATTGACCATCACTTACAATTTGTAGAATTGGAAAGTTCGGTTAAACCCCGGCCCTCGGCGATGGTTACGCATGCAATACTTAACAATACATCTCCTTTTTTCCCACAGCTTCCAGTCGGTGGATCTGAACGCTGCTCTGAAGGCCATCCGTGAGCAGTACGACGAGATCGCCGCTAGGAACCGTGCAGAGATAGAGGCCTCCTTCCAGGGAAAGGTAAAAAATTGTTCTTAGACTAACGTTTTACAAGAATACTTGCTGATCATTACTGAATTTGCGATAGCGTAGCGATGACAAAAGTCCTATTCTGTTTTACCCTTGAGTCAAAGGACGCCACCATATTGACTACTTGTTTTAACATGTTTATTTGCGCCCCCTGTCGACAGGTAGCCGAAGTGAAGGTGCAGCAGGAGCAGAGTAGCGAGGCGCTGACCCTGGTGAAGTCGGAAGTTTCCGAGACCCGCCGAAGCGTCGCGACTCTCACGGCCGAGCTGGAGTCGCTTAAGGCTCAGGTAAGGACCTAACTAATCATCTGTACTGTTCTCCAAATGATCCTTACATCAAACAACATGAAATCCACCCATCTTTTCCTTAAATGATTCCAGAGCGTAATCCTCAAGCAGCTCTTTTGGTGGCTGCAATTCAGTATTAAATTGACAAGACAGTATCAAATTGGTCATATTCAGTACGCTAGGTAAAGGAAAGATACCATTACGTTATACAAACGCCAGAAGCCAAAGCCTAAACCCTTGGGGAGTACAGTAGCCAGAACGTACTACGGTATTCTGAATCTTTCTAGAAGTAAAATTACGACACTAACGGTTGCTTTTCCCGTTTGATTTTCAGAGCTTCGCGATCCAGGAGTCGATCGCCAGCGCTGAGCGGGAGAACGCGTCCCGCCTGGAGTCCAAGATGGAGATCATCAACAGCATCAAGATGGAGCTGGGTCGCCTCAAGTCCGAGATGAGCCGCGAGATGAAGAAGTACGAGGAGCTGGTCAAGATGAAGCTGGCCCTGGAGTCCGAGATCAAGCAGTACGACGGGCTGCTGTCCGGGGAGGAGAGCCGGTAAGGAGCTCACATTGTCTTTGCGTACGGCGAGAAATCAGGCCTTTCAGGCGCAGTGTCTGTAGCAGGTTCTTAGGCATTTTGTGTTGCAGGTTTTCAGGCTAAATAAAACGTTCTGTACGTATACCGCAGGTTTTAGGCTACAAACGGACCTTCTGTGTGTTCTGATCGAAATTCTGTGTAGCAAGTTTTAGGCTATGGAACTGTGACAAGTCCTTAGGCTACAAAAATAAATTCTTTGTATGTGAATGTCAAAAAGTATATCACCAATACAAATCCGCAATATTGTAGCTTCATGGCCATACATGTTATGCTCTAGTACAGATTTACAGGCTTAGTTGTCTATTCAAAGTTAAAACTTTTGATCCAACACAAAAATTTCTCTCACCTAGAGCTTTCGACTTGTCACCTGGTCTTCCTCACTAGAATGACCCAGTGGGCTTGTCACATGGCTTGTTTGAAGTGTGACGTCAAACTTGGGTCCAAAGTATCTGGTAGACGATGTCGGCCCCCGTCGCGGTTGAGTGAAGTTGTCATTCTACAAGCAACAAAGAAGAATATTTCATTACGTTATTATGACACGCCTCTAACCAGCGATGTGTTGTGTTCCAGCATGGTGGGTGTGGGCGAAAGCAGCAGCAGCAGCACCTCCTACAGCGCCTCTAGCGGCGGGAGCACCACCTACACCACCAAGACCGTCACCAAGACCATCCGGTCCTAGGCGGCAGGGACGGCAGGGCTGTGGTGTTAGTCTCAAATAGACACACACGACAGCCCAACTAAGCAACTGAAACGTGCGAAAACAACTGAATAAGACCACCTGTTACATCAGTTTCTGTTGTAATGTTGTTTGGTAATTTGCCTCATCTTCTTGTAGTGAATTACTTTACAAACATCTGAATAAAGTTGTTTTCCCGAATCTCTCTGTATTTTGTCATTGTAATGGAATGCACAGCTTTCTTGACTGATGAACGTACAAAAGTGCATGATGTATGAATTCCGCTGGGTGACGCTCGTACGTGGTCCTTGAAACAATAAACTACTCTCCAAGCAGATGCCGGGTGAGAAAGAAGGTCACAACACCCTCTGACTTCCCAGATTCCCTGTGTGTGGGGTGGGGCAGTAAAAAAACGACGCGCATCTTTCAACCCAAAATCTGCTCAGACTTAGAGATCAAAAGATGAGCCAACTGCATAGAACATGGGCAGCTTATAGAAACCACACACGATTACAATATATAAAATTTCATAGGTATAGGCATAATATAATGTATTGTGAGATTTTAAAAAAAGAGTACTAGTAATTAATGCCATGTACTCCTTGGTGGACCGACGTCCCTGTTATGTTATCTGTCTATTTGGCCAATTTTCAATCTTTCCACCGTCTTCTGGAGCCTGGTAGAGGCTAAATGTGTCAGTAGTCCACAACCATAGTCTCGTTACGCTACCGTGCACCTCTACACGTAATCTGACATACGATACTTGTTTACAACTTCAGAGGCCATGACGCAACAGGTTGGCTTGGCTCTGGCCCTGATTGGTCAAGTGTTGGGGAATGAAAGACGCTGATTGGCCGTCACGTTGCTTCCGGTGTTCGATTTACATATGTAGATACTAGTACAATGAAGGGAAAGGGGTCATGGCCGGTTAAATCTTTAGTATGTAACGTTGTATTGTATCTTAAGACACTAGTAACAGTAGGTTTAAGTATAGTGTAAGTGCAGTATAGTATTCAATGCAAGAAGATAGAAAGATGTTAGAAAGATGTTAGAAATCAAGACATTTAGCCTGGTTTAGTCAAACCCATTTGAAATGTGAAGTCTTCTGGAAGTTTGCACATTAAAAACGCACCGAACGTTTATAAGAGTCATTGACCCAACCATGAAGGTTATGTGGGGACATTTTACATCCAGAACTAGAGATATCTAGTTGTATACATGAATGTGTCAAGGTTAGAATCAGGCACAGTTCTGGATAGTCTATTCGCATCCAAGAACGTAGATTTGCCCCAGGCACGGTCCTAGATACGAGTGGAACGAAAACCAATAGAAAAGTGCTTAAGAAATTACTAAAGCAGATTTTTGTGCCGTCACATGGTACCCTAAACTGTCCCTCCATGATCCATGCTTGTCCTAACCTGTTCCTATGTCAACGAAGTTCCAAACACTGTTCGGTAATGTTTTGTACACACCGCGTACCAAGTTTAGCAGGGTGGGGGCGTCACGCCCTTAAAACTCCGCTGCCATGGCAACGCCGAATAACAGGTGGCTTTAAAGGTCTCGCCGGTTCATTCACATTCGCTCAAGGCCGCAAACACGGGTGAATAACATGCCTACCCTCACATGTTTTCAGAAAGACGAGCTATGATCCATTTTCCTCCCTTTGTTACCCAGAAAAGGGCCCACTTTTGAAAACAACTTTCCCACCATTGTTTCGACCTCTCCCGTTGCCCCGAAAATGTTTAGACAACAAGTGATACGGTTGGAGTATGTAGTCTTTTGTTGTGTGACGGGTGTTTATTACAATGATCAGGGTGGGTGAGTTAGCGTTGATAAAAGTGTACATTGGAACTTGAACACGTTGGTATTTCCGTAATAAGGTTTAGTGGCAACATAACGCTTTGGGAAAGTTGGCAGGTAGAGGCATTGAAGCTCCATCAACATCAACTTGTTCTTAAATATTTATGGTTCAACCATACAAAAGATTACAATCTAAACGGTAATAACTTGTTTTTCCTATTTTGAACTTACATAGTCTTGCGACGATGAAGGTTAGACATAGTCTTGGTCTTACGAAAACTGGAACAAGGTATCATTTTAAAAAGTTTATCATTTGCCATCATGCAAAGGCTATACAGTTAAGTATTCTGCAGTACAGAAATGTATCTGTATACAATTCCATTGGGTTATCCTGACAAGATGGTTATCTCCTATACTCTCACTACTGTCTCTCAAAGTAGGACATGTTGCCAAGACTTCCCAGTGATGTCCCCAGTATTAGACCCATCTTTTACGTTACCGGCGCTTGAGAAACGCTTGTTGTTCTTGTGTGGCAGGTTGTAATGCATCCACCCTTACACAGGAATACAATAACTTTAAAAGGTTGTCTATTATTGGTGTTCGTCGCAACACCTGTCGGTACGTGTTGTCATTTTGTGGAGAGGTATAGAGTATCATCCTAGGTCCTTTAAAGTACCGATCATTTTCAAATTCCTCTACTTCTTTGATAAAAAAGACTATCAAAAAGTGTACCAACATTGGTAAACATTGCGTAAGACTTCACATCGTAGCGAGTAGCTTTGGGGATGTTAGTGACTTCAAAAACTGAAGTTATATGTACGTAACAACCTAACAGCCAATCATTAGTTGAGTTAGTTTTAACGGCTATATTCGAATGGTTCTTAACAGTCTTCATGTAGGACTAAGAAGCAGCCGTAACTATCTAAAAAGTTGTTGTTCATGTGAATGTAAAGATCATGTGCAGTCGAATTTGTTACTGGGAGGGAGTAACAGGAGAACTATTCAAAGCTTTCTGTACCCCGGTGAAACCGAACTCCAGCTCTTGGAGCCTGGGTACAAAAGTAGGTGCAGAGGCGCGACAAACAACAAGGATTAATGTAAATATTGCCCCGATCGCGATACCCTCGTCTCTGAATTCTTTCTCTACCAAAAGGTAAATCGTTTCTTTTCACTCCAAAACGCACTACCTCGTAAAGAAACCACGTAATATAGATAACAACACAATTCGCGTTCTTTACGATTCGTCTATGTGTTAAAAAACGGAGAACATTTTCTTCTAGCTACCAGTGAAGTTTGGCTAGTTTTCAGAGAGAAACAACATAGGGTGTTGAAACGACCCCCGGCCAGGGAACGTATTTTTCTCATGTTGTTTCTTGTACCATAGAGGGTAAGAGATGTTGTAGGCGCGAGGTTTCCCCAGAACGTTCTTATGGTGAAGGATTAAAGTTCCGAACTTCACAGGACCTTACGACGCCAAACGACGACATGAGAGTGACAATGATGTTCCTGTGGTTCATCTTCGTGGCCCAACCGTGCGGTAAGCACATTTTTTGTACATCACTAGTCCTTACTTAAGTATCACCCTATAGCATGCTCTTTTTACTTCACCTTAATCGAGTTTACAGTGATGTACATAAAATATTTGTTTCTTATTATGTCAGCATATTAGCTCTTAATGGGTTCAATGAATTGTTAGGACAATTTTAGTTACCTTAGGCCCCTAAAAGTACCCCGGTTTGCTAAAAATGCGGTCGCTTACGTAGTTTTCTTTGTAACTCTATCAGTGTCAAGTGCGCAGGTGATAATATCTAAACTAATGGATCCTGATATAGAGAACGAGTGTTTTTTAGTTAAAATACTGAAGTAACTCACACCAGTAGATTTTAAATGGGTGTCAAAAAGTAAAGACAACAACAAAAACTTCCCCTACTACCAGAAGTACACGAGAAGTTGGATATCTATAGGTATTGTCACAAGCTAGACTTTTGTCTTTGGTGTCTTTTGGCTATATTCTGGAATACCGCACTGAGGAAAATTTCATAGAGAAACTGCGTAAAATGTCACTCATTTCTTGATACGTATATGTACGTGAGGCAGTGTACAATTTTCATTGCGTACTGCACTAGAAGCTCCTAAATGAACATCATCGAAACATTTAGCTTGCTTTACATTTAAATGTGCGTCAAAGGGACAAAACGATAAAACTGTCTTTGCCCCTCTGAGGACACAGTGGAGTTATATATAGATACCCATCTCTATAATCATGTTTCTAACGGCCACCATACCGTCATATAGCCGACCGGTTGGGCATTAGATAGTAGCATATAAAACGTTAGCAACATGCCATGCGTGCTAAACGATGTTTATACAGTATCGTTTGTTAGGCGGTTTTCTTTGGACGTGTTTATGTTATACACAGCGACTCCCAAGGCGTAGGGGGAAAGTATATGGGTCCCTTTTCACAAAAATTCCTTTGCTTTGTACAAGAGCTGCAAATAATCACTGATGTTAAAATGATGTACTGACGTTAAAATGATGTACAGAGAAAGCAAACTTATGAGAGACCATATTTCTTTAACGTATTCCAATCAGGGCTTTGGTAAAGTCTTTTCTCTTTAATTGATGTAACGTTAAGGGATAAAAGTTAGAACTGAACTTTTGTATTTGTCCTTTGTTGTTGTATTATGTATGATATGCCCTTGTCATGTTTTCTACTAGCTTAAATTATGTATGATACACATTGCAACAACTAAAGGACAGTGTAAGGTGTAGATGTATCAGCAAAAATGCGGTGTAACATTCTTTTAAATACCTTTTAAGCAAGAACTAAACTCGGAAAAATCAACGATCCACGTTTTTGCTTTATGATTAAGATTATGTTATAAAAGAATGATTGTCTTAATTCTTGTTTCATGTTCATATGTCTACTGATTAAATAATACATATGCTAAAGCATAACCATTGACAAGGTATTAAGAATGAGATTTACCATCTTTGCCGTTCTAAAAACCACTTTCTGGTTGGAACACGACAACAGGAATAGACACTACTACCACGGAGGAGAACAGAAGAACAAGCACGGCAAGAAAATACCCAGAGACAACTTACTCTTCGGGTTCAATAACATCGACACCGAGAACTTTATTCACGTCTCCTACCTCATATACTGTAACAGATATGATAGACAAAATTACAACAACGTCGACAGTACCTTTACGTACCACTAGGACTACCTCTCAGGGCACACAGAGGCAAACTGCAATATTTACTAACACTCCTACTACAAGAGAAAAGACAACAGAATCAACTTATCCTTCAAGTGTAACGGATACCACTAATACACGAACGTTTAGCACGTTTAGAATAACAGAAAGTTCGAGTACAATACAAGAACAAACCACTGAAACAACTACAGAAAGAAGAACGACGAGCTCAAAATCTACATTGATTACAAGTGGCACAAGTGCTCAGCCAACAACCAAGCAAATTACTACCTCTAGCAGAACTGTATCAACATTACTACCAACGACCGTTTCAAATAAAGTAACGACCACAAACCGAAGCACAACTAAGTCAACCACTCCCTTAGCAACAACTTCAACACCATCATTATCCTTATCAACAACTCAAGGCATTACTCAAGGCACTACAAGTCAAAGCACCCCTAGGCAAACCACCTTAGATACTACAATAGCCACTTCAATTCATACTACTGGCCAAACGAGGTCTACGGCCACATCACCATTACCTACTACTAGTACTAATGCTCAAACAACCACCACGATCGAACCAACTACTACCTCTGCCACAACTTTGGCGACTAGTCAAAAGACAACAGACCAAACTACAAGTGGCACCACGTCAAAAGTAACCACCGTTCCTCAAACAACAACAACAACAAGTCAAAGTACAACAATACCTACAACCGTATCCAGTACGACTGAAACAATCCCTACAACTAAAACTCAGTCAACAACTACCTTAACTACAACTGCAACTACAATGAAACCATCATCCTTGCCAACAAGTCAAAGCACAACTGAGCAAACCACCTTAGATACTACAACACCAACTACAGCGCAAGGCACAACCCAGCCAACCACTTTCTCCACAACGACTACAACTACAGCTCAAGCCACAACCCAGCGAACCACCCTCCCCACAACGACTACAACTACAACTCAAGCCACAACCAAGCCAACCACCCTCTTCACAACGACTACAACTACTACTCAAGCCACAACCAAGCCAACCACCATCTCCACAACTCCAACTACAGCTCAAGCCACAACCCAGCCAACCACTATCTCCACAACAACTCCAACTCCAA